TAGCGACATGAAGCCGCTTCAACAATAAAACTGCGACGCCGCGGTGGCAGAGAGCCTTGTGGAGTTGGTGGTCTGTCACAGGATGTCACAGGCTTACACGCTGACATGAAAACTGCCGGCCTGAAGGCTGTCTCGTTGGACACCTTGTTATCTCAAACCCAAGAGTCCTTGAAACATGCGCTTGAGCCTCATGCGCGCATGCGTCTGCAGGGCGCTTTGTGAATCGATGGTCTCAAGTACTAGCTTCCGTTCAGAGCGCTTTAAGTGCTGCTGCTCATGTAAGTCATCACGCGCTGCGGCCTGAGCGGCAGCCCAGGCAAATATGATGTGTTCGACGCTCATCAGCGTATGACTTCTCTGTTAGTCCTGTGAGCTGGCACAAGACATGCTCGGGTGTGAGCTGCGACTGTGAGGAGTTGCTCAGCTTTCATGCCCAAGCCAATTTTTTCGCGGAAACTTTGCAGTGCCATGTTTCTTCCTGACTTTGGTAATCCTGCTCCCAGTCTGCTCATCAGATCTTACAAAATTTGAGAATTGCTGTTCGCGGGGTCACTCTTTACAACATAACTGATTTGCTTGACCCATGCCTGAAGCATACTAAAAATTGCAGGCAGCTTCCGGACAGATGGCAAGGTTTGATTGATGCTTGGCAGGTTGCGGACAGGCATTGGGTCATTCCTGGTTCCAAGGGGTGCAAAAATGTTTTTTTGCATCAAGTGTTTGCAGTAGCTCAATGAATTCTCCAGTTCAGGAGATTTGTGCGCAGTGGGCATCTCTTGGATGCGGGCGACGATTATACACATAGGTGTGGCGCATAACTTGAAGGAAATACGTGAATCTTTGACTGCTGGGCTCAAAAGCGTGAAATGAACACTGATTGATCAAGCTTGATGTGGCTGCTGCCACTTGCAATGGGCATCACCTCAACCCCCATTCTCAGCCTAAAAATGGGGGTTTGCGTGAGGCTGCTATGCGACAGTGACATGTCACGCGAAGGCTTCATCCTTTTTCACACATTTTTTGCGCAGGCACTATCCTCTTTGACTTTGCCGACCAAGACTACGGTCCGATAAGCTAAAGACCCAGAATCCAGGAAATCCCGGATCTTGATTACTTTCATTAGAGGATTTGAACAAAAACCACGAATCCATGACTTCTATATTTCTATATAGCTGTTGTTTGAAGTAAATAAAGGATTTAAGAGCCGCAACTCAAGAATCTGAGACCTCAGTATGGGTTCTACCCTATCTTTTCTGAGTTCTCTCGAGTAAGGAAAATTTGCGGATCGGTGGTCATTACACTAGGCTCAGTCAGGGCAGATTTGCACCCGTAAAATGTCGGCCGCAGGCACAGAAGCGACCCCTGAACCATTCATGAAAAGATGGGTTGAGCGCTTTGTTGGCGCGTAACACAATTCTGGTCATCTGCACTGCACCCCTGTTGCGTTTTCTCATCTCCCCGTGGGGCGGGTAGGCGGCGCTGTGGCTGCGGCTGCGGCTTGCGCTGGTTGCTGAAGGACCGAGTCTTGATCCACATGCTCTGGCCCTGGCGCCCGCACTTGCGGCAGGTTATTCCTGCTCCTCCTCACCGGCTCCGGGCATGTGGTAAAGGATACTTGCAAAATCTTGCAACGGTCGCGCTCACAATGCTGAAAAAAGGCCGGGCCGTCAGCCACAAACAGCCGAGAGCCGCGACACCGACCACAGTAATTCCGGGCAATTTTTTTTGGCTTCGTAACGCCTAGAGGAAGGCGCTGACACAAGGCACTGCTTGGCATAAAAAAAACAGACACACACGGCTGATTCGCTACGACTGCGTAAGCCTCGTTAGTGTCCATTCCACAGAGCGCAACGACGCCTTCTTCCAAGACATTCCGCCCGCGGCCTAGAAACTCTACGCGCGCGGCGCGCATCAAACGCCGAGCTGGACAGCTGCGAAATATCCAAGGTCAGCACTGGATCATCAAGGAATATTTTCTGATAATCTTTGCAGGCACACCCCCTCCAATACATTCGGAACGGCGAACGCATAGCAGGCTGTGCATCATGGAAGCCAAAATCAAGAATACGTTTGGCAGCCTGCCCCACAAAGTCTTGCCTGGCCAAGCACCAGCTCGCTTGTGGGCAAAAGGAGGAACGCCACATAACGCCACCAGTTCGCGTAAGCACTAATAATCACTGAATAGCCATAAGACAAGCGTGACAGAAAAAGGCTTTTGACTCGCCAAGGCATTGGCACTCTTTCGATGTGGCACGCCTAAACCTAAACCGGGTCTATCCGCGTCGAATATGTTTGCTGCCCGCCATTCCAGCTACTGACGTCTGACATGCGTTGCAACAAATCGGGCGTGGTCGATTCTGCAGAGCGCCGAAACAAATAAGGGATGCCATGGACAGAACGCTGGCCCATTTCAGCAAAGAATCGAAGATACCAAAAGTGGCATCTAACCGACTTGATCCACTCAACAAGAGGGTTGCAGCTTTCGCTCGATCCTGCCAAAGACTGCGATAAGCTCCCCACGCGGCGGCTCTTGCTTGCCCTTGAAAGGATCCACAAGATCTTATCGGTCCCATGAGAACCTTCACGATAGAAGTGAAATGGCTGTCACGGAAGGATCTGCAATTAAAACCGGCTCAGTGATTCGCCAGGGATGTGGCTTGGCCCTGGGATATGCAATCCTGGTTATAGAAGGGCTGAGGGCGTATGAAGTTTGTTGACCCGAGTCAAATCGCGCGACCTTGGTTTGCAGTGACCCTGCTTGTTGGCGGTTTCCTGTTGATCGGTCTGCCCTCATCTACTCTCCCTCGATCTGGCGTGGATGCTAGGTACGCGTAACGCACTTCGGAACACTGACAAGAAATTCGGCGGGCTACTCAGGCTCGCACACGAGGCTCCAGAAGGTCGCAATCAATGTCCCCAACTTGTTAAAGCGTTGAAGGGTAGGGCCGGAATTCGTTTTGCGGTTCGGGGCTTCGGTCCCGTAGCCAGTTGATGATGACGGCCGGCTGGATCAATGCCAAGTTTAGAAGCCCAGCGCTGTCGCCGAGTTCACTATTGCAGGGCTACCACCACTGCTGACAGCAAGGCCTTCCAATATGGTTTGCAGCCACTGGGTGTCCACAGTCGCGGCTACTATATCTTCATTGTCGCCCGTTCTGACGCTTCGCACCTTGGCCCGCTGCTGTGGCATTGCACTACCCTGACAGGGTTTGAACTTTGCCTTCTCTAGCTGGTCCTTTCCCCCTCTGTCCTTGTCTCCCCCTGTCCTTGCCTGTTTTGCTGTTATTCTTGATGACGTCTCTCTGGACTATTGCCTGTGGAAGTTGGAGCTGAGTGTTCCCATCATCGCACGTTTCTTCCCCCTTCTTCTCCCAAGGCACCATGCATTCAGCCAGTTTGTCAACCTCGTAAGTGGAGCACCACTCGTTCACCCAATTTATCAACCTCGTGAGTGGGGCCCAACCACGGCATGATTTCAAAATTGGGTACGCGTGAGACAAGTGAAAGATCTGTGTCTTGCTCCTGCCAAAGCTGCTTACGACAACCTGGCTCGGAAAATCCGGACATCTGCGCGTGAAACATGCCACCGTCAGCTGCAAACAAATTTAAACAAAAACAGGCGGCGTGTCTTGGACCAACTTGCCACTGCACTCTACTGATTAAACTGGTTGCACGCATGTCAGGTGCGCTTATGCCCTGAAAACGCATATGTGCTCACGTTCACCCTATGCGCCACGCTTGCATGCGCCGAACTGATCTGCCAATGATGAATAGGTTGATCCGGAGTTTGAACTGCAAACACAGGGAAGCAGGATGACTTTCCAGAACTTGACACCTGCTCGGCGGATACCCCATGCCGCATTAACAGTGTGCTGCAGCAGGAAGGCCGCTGCGTGCGCAGATGTTGGTGGAAAATTTGTTTGGGCGCTTGCGGAAAACCTGAGTTGCTTGCGAAAGCTTCACACATGCACTAATGGTCCGGTTTCATGCTGCACTCATCCACACATGCATTGATTGCACAGCTGCAAACTCTCATGACAATTCCAGTCTTGCCAGCTGCGCGGCCTGGCTTCTTCTAGTCTGGCTAGCCCTGTTGCAGTTGCAGGTGCAACAGGATGATCAGTCCTTCTTCTTCTGCAGGCGAAGAAAGGCCGTACGACCCTTCCGGGGCCCTGCCCCGCGCCCTTGCAATTTCGCGTTGTCCAGTCGGGTACCCTAGAGGACCGAAACGTACCCAAACGAAAGTTACCAGAATAAGCCTCAATGGGTATGACAATCTAAGGGCATGCACCTCCAAACTGCAGCTGGCCGCCGATTGAGCACGACCGCCGCTGCGGCGGCCCTGAGTCATTGTCGACGTGGCTGGCTCGACCTCGCCGCGTGCAGGAGCACCGCAGCTGTGGCTGGCGTCGGCACAAAATCCCCCATGTCTGGTGCCTGAGCCCCCGCCATCTTCCCCGGCCATCTTCTCGCCATTGCCGCTGCCACATTTTTTGGAACGGTGAGACCACCAGAGATTCGCATCCGCAGTTGCCAACCAGGCATGGCGGTGGTTTGCAAATCCGCGGCGCCAATCTCCAGAGGGCCCCCGTCATCCGACGATGGTGGTGTGATGTGGTCGAAATCGGCATGTCGAACTAGCAAGCCTGAGCTCTGCCATTTCAGCCAAACTGGCCCTGTGGCCATCGCTCGTGCTCCTGCTCAAGCTTTCAGTTTCTAAGCCGATCGCGAAGTCATGCAAAGATGTGCAGGGAAGCCAAGCTGATCTCACTCCAAGGTGTTTTGAAAAAGAAGCCCATCTGCAGACCAGATTCTGCCCGGCAGCTGCCGCCCAACTTGTGTTTTGAGCTCAGCACTTTAAAACTTTCTGAGTTGGAAATACTTAAGATGGGGCATGAAAAGTCGGTCACAGTCAAGAATAATCCTGATAAACTTTGGTGCATCTGTCGTTCCGGAATGCATAAGCTGACTCTTGATCCTGGCAACTCTCAGGCGGAAACTGGTTGAGTGAGTACCCATGGGTACTGACGATCTCGTTCAGATTCTTGGACCAGACAAGGTTGCACACCTTCCGCTGTCGCCACTCTAACAGCGCTGCATGGAACACAGAAGAGCCAACACCAATGACCATGTTGCCTGAGAGCCGGTGTCAATGCAAGATAGAGGCATGTTGTTCACGGTGTTCCAGAAGCGGATACACCTACCGTAGAAAACGGTGTCAAGTGCGCGCAAAAATTCTCCTGCAAGTTCAACTAGTTCCCCGATGCCCTAAATAAGCTGGCGCCAACTGAGATCCAGCAAGCCAACATGCATTGTGCACTGAAATGATATCGCAAACTCACCTGTCTGCCGTTCCGCCCCCTGAAGCCAGGAGTCCATGCCTCACGCTAATGCAAATGCCTCCTGCAAACTGGAAATCTCTCATCAGGCACGAACTGGTGTGGAGACCAGGCGATTGCCTCGCATGCACGTGTACCATCCCCAACTAGCTAGCAAAAAAGTTCTGGATTTGGTGGCAGGCTTTAACGGCTGCTTGGTGGCGGTTGAACTTGAGAACAGGCTCGGTGGACTTTAGAGACCAGACCTAGGATGCAGCGGTGGCAAGGGCAGCTCCTTAGCAGCAGCAGCAGCAGCAGCAGCAGCAGCAGTAGCAGCAGCGCAAATATGAGAATGGCGCACACAACTTGTTGTCATTCCCTCCAGATGCCAACTGCTGCTCGTCAAAGGACCACTTCAACCCGCAAACCTTCAGAGCGCGGGTGCATGGAGTGGGCTGAGCCAGAAATCGTGTGCCTCCTGTCGATGACCGTGAAGCTTGGACCTCATGCCAGGCTAGGAAAGTCTCTGATCGCTGCTGAGTGCCTTCGAAAACTTCCCAGCCAACAACAGGACTGCCAACAAGTTCTCAGAAGGATGTTGCAGGCTAGATCAACAGGCGTAAGGCAAGCTCATAAATGGCGCTGGTTGGCGAACATCCCTGTGAAGGATATGGTGGTCCCGGCTTCCGGTTGACCTGCAGCTAGTGTTCACATTGCTCCTCTGCACTTGCAGAGTTCATCACTCAGGGATGAGCAGAACAAAGCCATTCCATGCCATGGTGCCAACTCTGCCCAAATGCCCACTCCTAGCGTGCATGGCAACCGTAGGTCTGACAAGAAATGCAAAGACAACTACAACGCACATGCATGTGTTCAGCATGCTCACGTTTTCAGGCCCCAGCATGGTGCGCATTTTGCGACACTGCGTGGAGTCCCATATTTGAACTTCACCTTTGTTCGTTCCAACCTGCAAGTCATGACAAAATTTCGGCATCAATTGTGCACACATGAGCACAAGTCTGAGGGTCAGTACTGCGAGGTGGGCCCCTCTCTGGGTCCATGAGACTGAGGTCACAGTGTCGTCCGGTCCCAAGTCACATAGCTTGGTCACCTTGAAAGACCGCGGGCTTCTCGACGCGACATTCTACAAGCAGAAACCAATAATCAATGAGAAGTCGGTGAAAACTGCAAACTCATTTCAGGACTGCCCGTGTTGGATGCCTTTGAGCATGCCTGCACTAGCATGTAACTCTAGACTCTGGCGAACGCATTGCCTACAATTGATGCGGTGAAGACAAACGTGCGGTATCCTTTTGTCATAGCAGCTGAGGTCATGTCCCGGCTGGTGCAAGCACTCCAAAGGTAAACGCAGTTGCTCAGACCTAATGGACAAGCATCATCGGAAACAAACAAGCAGAAAAAGAAGATCAAGCATTTTGCTTGGCAATACTTGGTGAGGACATGCAACTAGTTCAAACAGGACGTCGGCGTTCGGGAAGCATTGCAGCATCTGATCTCTGAGAGCCCATGCACTTCCCACCATGGCCACAAGTAGGCCTTTCCTTCTACTCAAAAACTTTAGACACCTTAAAATACAGCAACGACTGCAAGCATCATCATGCCTGTGCCAGACACGGACACAGGTGCCAGCATTAATTATGGAGCGCTCACAGAAATCCTGATGTCGCGGGATTTCTTGAAAGGAAAGGCCCCAACGGTCCTCAAAGATTCCATTGACCAAGCAGTCCACGACATGTCCGTGGCCAAGTTCAGAACTACGGCTTCACTTAGACAACATCCCTGCACTTTTTGCAGCAAGGCAGAGGTGTATAGAACGCATGCTCTGAAAATCCAACCTTCTGAGCACGGAAGACCCTAATACAAGCGCGGCATTCTGCGGTACAAGACAACATTCCCGCAAATGCAGGGCTTCAGACAAAATGCTGGAAAGCATGTGTGCCTTCTGGCTGAACATGCAAAGCGTGGTGAGGCTGCTAGGGGCGGCGCCAACAGACAGCACATTGGCAGATGACCAATCAACCAGGTTAAGGTAGAAGTCGTCCTCACGAGCATGGATGCGTCTCAGGCTCACTTGGACAGTGAAAGCGGATATCGCATGCAGAGTCCTGCAACTGCGGGGCATCTAGAACCTGCCATCATTGGAGGCAAAAAACATGGGGGCAAACATCCTGAAACATGCATGCTTCGAAAATCATCTGTTGAAACACATATTCCGCCTAGCAAGATTCCTTGCTGTACGATGTTGGTCGTTGCGGGTGCAATTGCTTGCTAAAACCCTTTTCGTGTTCCAACGCGCTTCTTTGCAGATTTCTCCGGCTGATGTAGCCTTTTTCGCAACCTACAAGGCTGGAAACTAATCAGCAAACAAACATAGTAGAATCCACTGGCAAACAGAAATACAAATCCAAAATTCGGTCATCTCCACTGTCACATGAACATCATCCCCGCTGTCAAACACTTTACCAACAAGAAGTCCTGAAACCCAAACAATAATCGCTGATGCTGTGACAAGGTCGAACTGTACAGTGCTCTTGTCCCATCGGACTGATGATGGCAGAACCCTTCATGGAGTTAAATGTAATACCTGGAAAGCATGTCATACCATGAAATAATTGCCATTCCACTCTAGCGTCTCGAAGTTTGGAGCGGTGGAAAGTGGAGCTGGTGTACGCAGTGATACATAGTGCGATGTATAGCCTTGCTCCCCTCGCACAGCTCTGCAGCACAGGTTCTTACGCCCGAAGCATTGATGCAGCCCCCTTGCGCGCTTGCTTTGCTTGGATTCTTTACAGGACACCCCGAATCATACTGGCAGCGGAGCCTGAGGGCCAAGTCTTGGATTTAGGCTAGGCTGCTTGCTTTCCATTTTGGCCGATGGCTGTGCCGTCTGCGGCTTTGGCGGCGGAAACGGTTGGAAACCGATTCGCGCGCAAAAAACGCAGATTCGCACACCAAAAGGGCGGATTCGCGCACTACATGGACACGTGATTCGCGCACTACGCCGTCGGATTCGCGCACCAAGGATTTGCGCACCAAAGATTCGCGCACCAAAGATTCGCGCATACCACAGACCGATTCACGCACCAAAGAAACGCTGCTTCGCGCACCAAGCGGACTCGCGCACCAAAACAGCTGCTTGGCGCACCAACACAACAAGACAACCCTGAACCCAAAACCCTAAGCCCTAAACCAACCCTGACCCTAAACCCTAAGGCCTAAAAAGGAATGCCCTAAACCCTAAACCCCAAACCAACCCTGAACCCTAAAGCCTAAACCCTATGAAAGCTCTAAGCCCTGAACCAACCCTGAACCCAAACCCTGAAGCCTAGACTCTAAGAAAGCCCTAAGACCAAAACCAACCCTGAACCCCCAACCCTAAACCCTAAAACCTAAACCCTAAACCCTAAGTCCCCAACCAACCCTGAACCCTGAACCCTGAACCCTAAACCCTGAGCCCTGAACCCTAAGCCCCGAGCCCTAAAGCAGCCCTGAACCCTAAACCCTAACCAACCCTGAAATCTCAACCCTAAACCATAAGCCCTAAACCCTGAACCATACTGTGGTGTTGTTTCGCGTGTGGCGGTTTCAACGGTGATTGGCGCAGCGAAAACCCGAAAAGCTGAAAATTCGATTTTTTCGAATTTTTGATTTTTTTTAATTTTCGAATTTTGAGGTTTTGAATTATAGGATGGGTTGTATGTAAAATAATGCGCGTTTTGCTTTGGAAAATTTGAATTTTTTGAATTTTTGAATTTTCGAATTTTTGATTTTTTGAGCTTTTGAATTTTCAATTTTTTTGATTTTTGAATTTTTGATTGTATGAGTCATACGATGGGTTGTATGCAAAATGATTCGTAATTTTCCTTGCAGGCAGTATCGAAAAATTGAATTTTCGAATTTTAGAATATTCGAATTTTCGAATATTCGAATTTTAGAATTTTCGAATTTTTGAATTTTGGAATTTTTGAATTTTCGAATTTTTGAAGTTTTGAATCTCTGAATTGCGCGGTGTCTGATTTCCGCAATTTGAGAGCCCAGCCCGAAAACTTGACAACTTGAATTTTTGAGAATGTTTGAATTTTTGAACTTTTGAATTTTCGAATGCTTGAATTGTTTAATGTTCGAATTTTTGAGTTTTTGAATGTTTGATATGTGTGATGTCCGATTTCTGCAAGTTGCGCGTTCAGCGCGAAAAATTGATGCGCGAAACAGTGTACTGTTTATATGGGACTGAATACAGAGTTGGAACTACGATTTTTGAATATCTTTGCTGAGGCAAGTTAAGCTGCAGGCTCCACTCCTGGCGGTGCCTTTCTGAGGGGTTTAGGGCTTAGGGCTTGAGGGTCTTAGGGCTTAAGGGGCTTAGTAAGGCTTAGGGCTTAAGGGTCTTAGGGCTTAAGGGCCTTAGTAACCTTAACTTTCCGAAGCCCCCTTAACCCCTCCGACACCCCTTTAACTTCCCCATGGCTCCTTATAATCCCCCTATACCAGAAAGAACTATTCATCTGTCGGTGTGGACCTGGTAAGTTTCCTCTGGTCGAGCCCAACCTTAAGGGGCTTAGTAAGGCTCAGGGCTCAGGGGTTTTGGGCTTGAGGGGCTTAGTAACCTCAACCCCCCGAAACCCCCTTTAACCCCCCAGAAGCCCTTGTAACCACCCCTATGGCTAATATAATCCAATCTAGAACATGATTAATATATATACTTACATATATATATATATACATGTTGAATTATAAGGAGCCCTACACCATCAAGAGTTATCAATCTGCGAATGTGTCGAGCCCAATTAAGCTGCAGGCTCCAGTCCTGGAGGTGCCCTTCAAAACCCTCAGCCCCAAGCCTTAAACCCTAAACCCCTACACCCTGACCCCTAATCCCCGAACCAAAGAAAGCTATCAACCTGTTAATCCTGTCTATGCGTGGACTCGGTAAATTTCCCCGTTTTGAGTGAAATGAAGCTGCAAGCATCGCCTTTCCTTGCCTTCATGGCCCTCCTCTGTCTGCACCCGCCCAGCCCGAACACTTGAAAACTTGAAGTTTTGAATTTTCGAGTTTTTTGAATTTTCGAAGTGTTGAATTTTCGAATTTTCGAAGTTTTCGAATTTTCGAAGCTGTAAATTTTTCGAGTTTTTGAATTTTCGACTTTTCGAATTTTCGATTTTTTGAACTTTTGAATTTTTGAATTTTCGAACGTTTGAGTTTTTGAATTTTCGAATTTTTGAATGTTCGAATTTTAGAATTTTCGAGTTTTTGAATGTTTCAAATGCTCGGTGCCTGATTTCCGCAATCTGCGCGCCCAGCCGGAAAACTTGAAAACTTGAATTTTCCAATTTTTGAGTTTTCGAAGTTTCTAATTGCCATCGCGCAAGGTGCATGACGCGCAGAACGGCGGCTTAAGAACCATAAGCCCTAAGCCCTAAACTAGCCCTGAACCCTAGACCCTAAACCTTAAACTCTGAACCTTAAGCCCTAAACCCAAACGCGAAACCCTAAGCCCTAAACCAGCCCTGAACCCTAAACCCTCAGCCCCAAGCCCTAACCCCTGAACCCTAAACCCTAAACCCTGAGCCCTACACCCTAAACCCTACGCCCTAAACCAACCCTGAACCCTGAATCCTTTCTCCTAAACCCTGAACCCTAAACCCTAAACCCTGAACCCAAACCAGCGCTAAACCCTAAACCCCAAGCCCTACAGCAACCCTGAACCTTAAAGCCTAAACCCTCAACCAACCCTGAACCCCAAACCCTAAAGCCTAAACCCTAAGAAAGCCCTAGTCGGTCCGGCGTAGTGCGTGAATCGTTGGTGCCTAAATCAGATAGTTCCTGAATCGTTGGTGCTTGAATCGTTGGTGCTTGAATCGTTGGTGCTTGAATCGTAGTGCGTGAATCGCGCCTTTTCGGGCGGAAACGCCACTGCCCGATGCGGGAAGACCCGTGGGATAAAGCAGATCCGCCAGTGGGCCAGTCGCCGCCGGAAAGGGTAGAGGGGGTGGCTCCTATCATTCAGTTCGCATGTCCTGCGTTGAGGGTGAGGCGGCTGCATGTCGGGGTCTTGTTGGGCCATCCGAGCTTGCACGACGGCACTTCAGGTTCTTTGAGGGGGCCATCGAGGTGACAGGCAAGCTGTTCCCCATGGAGTTGACGACTACGCGGCTTGGCTTCAGCAGGATATGCCCGGACGCCTTCGGTTGCTGATGTGATCTCCTCAGACTTTGGCTTTTGCGGCTGGCCGTGGTCAGACGAATGGCCAGGAGATGCTAAGAGAATGCGCAGGATGGAAGCCAGGATTCAGCGCGCTATGTGGAGAGCTCAAGAAAAGCAGATTGGAGCCGCGTAATGTCAACGGCTCCAGGGAGCCGGCTTCCACTACTTCTCATGAGTTTGGCGTAGATGAGGCGGAGATTTCGTCTGCAGGCTGAAATTCTCCACTGGAACGCGCGTCAGAAGATTGGTCAAGCACGCAGCCGCATCAAGGATATGGCTGGAAACGCGCCATCGCGCACGCCTCTCCCGACGTCGATTCCGTCCACTCGCACCTCTTCGCGAAAGCTTGGACCTTTCTGCAAATTTCGGGGTGGCACCCCACAGCAAAATCACACAGCCATCACTCGTCCGTTTTCCATCCCGCTGCTGGGTTTCCCGGGGCCGCCCTGGCAACGCACACACAGACACACTTGTCATGTCATCACCGATTGACCTATTGGGTAGGTGGACATGATTGGAACTGATCCATTATGAGAATTGCCACGGTCCATGCGGTTACTTACAACACAGCACCACCACAAACAAGCACCACAAACTCACATGCACTGATTGCAAAACCGTTCCTATGGGGACATTAAGGGTTCCCCTCACCAGCACCCAGCTACCACGACGGGTCCAGGGCTGCTGGTGGGGCCTACATTATAAGGCAGGTACGTTTGCACAGGGCTGGGGAGGGGGGTCTTCGTTGGCCAGGACCCCCTCCCCACCCTTCCTGGCCCCCTGCATTTTGTAATGCGTAAACCCTAAACCCTCATGTGGGTG